TTAGTAGTAGGTAGCTATATCATTAATCAAGGCCTCTTTAGGAAAAGTCTGTTCTTCAGAGATATGTTCTGTGTGTAGGAGATTCTTGGTTTGTATCTATTTCAAGATCTACTTTCCCAATTAATTGAGAGTAAAATGTTGGTTTCTGCTTGGCTCTTTCCCTAGTCTTTTGTTGTAGGGTCTGGTGAGGTTATCACCCCAGAGTTTCCCAATATTGTTACACAAGGGAGACCAACTGATTACAACAGATGTGACATACTAGCTACAGTAGTACAATTAACAATAATGATAGCATCAAGCACAATTTAGAAATTAACAAACTGGTAGGCCCCCAGAGGGAAGGCCCCCAGCGCACGGGGAGCCACGGGCGGGGAGCACCGGTCTTTCGACCAGCGGCTCACTCCCTGCGTCGTAGGCCCCCGGAAGGAGGGCTTCCAGCGCACAGGGAGCCACGTGTGGGGAGCACCAGTCTTCCGGCTGGCTAGCTTCCTGCCTCGTAGGCCCCTGGAGGAAGGGCCCCCAGTGCATGGGGAGCCACGCGGCGGTGAGCGCTGTTGTGCGCTGGCCCTTAGGCTGGCCGCCGCCGCTCAATTGAGATCTATCATGACACAGAGAAACAATGACACAATTGGCCCACCATGTACCAACTACAGATGCCCACCCACGGACGTGTGTGAATCATTCAAACTTTGAACAACCCCTGGGAATACATGCCATACAATGAGCCACTCTTGCTCCTGCCATTGAGAACCAGAAAGGTCCAGAGCCAGCAGAGGAGCAGCTGCTGAACAAGGACTCAGAGAATATGAGAATGCAGACTAAGCCCATGGAGTCAGCGGTCCTATTGACTGGGGTCATGAGAGCCGCTCGGAAGCTGTAAACCAGGAGGACTTTGCACAATACATGTGGAGACTCCCTGGAAGCCATTCTTCCCCTGACAGTACAGGCTGTGGTGGAGCTCTGGAGAAGTCTGCAGCAGGATTCCTTCTGCCTGTGCTGACAGTTGGGGAGAGGACACTAATTGGTTGTGGGGTCCCAATGCGATGGGAGGCTAGAGAGAAAACGCTACAAAAAATGGCTTTCCCTCCAGACAGCTCACTTGATTTTTGACAACCCTTAGACTGTAACTACTTGTTAGATCCTTCTTGCGTATCTCTGTCTTCCTGAGAAACCACTTTTAAGATACCACCATGGGGGCTGGGGATTTAGCTCAGCGGCAAAAGCGCCTGCCTGGCAAGCGCAAGGTCGTGAGTTCGGTTCCTGGTACCGGAGAAAAACCAAAAAAAAAAGATACTACCATGTATTACAGCAGTCATTGGTACTTTTCTACTAATCTATCCATAACTTTGTAATGTTTGTATTGTTCGTATCCTATTTCATAAAGGGATCCATGTTTATTATTATGTGTTTCCTACAACAACCATTGAGAATTATTGAATGATTATTCAGTAGGTCACTCATGTATAGTTCTATTTATATTCTTTAGAAGCCACTTTGAAGATACCTAAGTATAGTACAACAACTATTGATAATCTTCTACCTCTTTTGTCTGTAACTCACTATCATTTGCCTATTTGTTTTCCTGAGAAACTATCTTGTAGATAACAATATGTAAAACAGTAACCATTGATAATTTCCTACCACTTTGTCTGTAATTTGGTAAGCCCCCCCCATTACTATGTTATCCTTCTTTTACTCTTTAAAATAAAAAAAAAATTAATAAAAAAGAAAAAAGAAATTAACAAACTGTGGTAACTATTGGATTTCTACTTTAGACCATAGGAGCAAGTTCATTGAAAGGAACAGTTAGTGCTTATACTGTTTGATCAGTTTTACATACCTATATCTGGTATTCTGAACAGCTACTTTGAAGATAATATGCAATATAATAACCATTGTTAATTTCCTATCATCTTGTTTTGAATTTTTTTTATCTTTTTTTATTCTCTTTTAAAAAAAAAAGAACACAGAATTTGTGAATGACAAATATCACATGATATTAAAAGAAACTAGTCTGTCTTACATTTAAAAAATTTTTATATATACTTTAGACTCCTGGTTGATAAGTTTAATAAGGTACAGTGGGTCAGTTTAACAGGTCAAAACAAATCACTTTCTAGTTTGTAGTTTTTCATTAGTTTGTGTACCTTTAAATCACACCCTGACTCTCTGTCCCTCTCAACAACCACTACGAATTATTTTGCATATTCCAGAATTATGTATGAACAAAGCAGTATGTGCCATGTACTGTTTTGCTCTGGTTTCTTTCATTCATAATTACTTTAAGAATCATCTGTGTTACAGTGTTTATCAGTATAGTATTTACTGGTGACTGTAGTTTCAGCATGTGGATACACCAGTTTGTTCGTTGTTGATTTCTTCTGTTGATAGACATTTAGCTTGTATCCAGTTTTTAGTTACTGCCAATAAAACCGTTCTAAGAATCCATGTACAAGTCTTTGTTTAGGCAGAAGCTTTCACTTCCTTTAGATAAATTCGTAAGAATAGAAGGGCAAGATCATATTGCAGATGTAACTTCTTAAGAAGCTGCAGAAGTGTCCTCTAAAGTAGTCATGCTATTACATTCCCACCAGTAATGTAGGAAGGTGCCAGTATCTCCATAGTCTAGCCAATGTGAAATGGCCAGTGTTTTGAATTTTAGCCATTCTAGTAGATATGCAGTGCTACTTCAATGTGGTTTTAATTTACTTGTCCCTAGTGACTAATGATGTTGCTTACCTTTTTTGCATGCTTATCATCCTGATAGCATAATCAGGGTAGTGTCTGTCCAAATCTTTTGCCCAATTTTAAGTTGGCTTATTTGTTCTTCTAATTTTTGTTTTGTTTCATTTTTTATTTTTTTTATTTTTTGAGATGGTCTCACTATGCAGTTCAGGCTGACCTTGAGTTCACTTTGTAGGCCAGACTGGCCTTGAACTTGCAAGGATCCTCCTGCCTCAGCCTCCTGAGTGCTGGGATTACAGGTGTGTGCCACCACACCAGATGAATTTTATACTTACAGCCTGAGAGTTCTATATACTAGTTTTGTATCTGATGTATGGTGTGTTAGCCATTTCCCCCCAATCTTTGGCCTGTCTTCTAATTGTCCTGATAGTTTAAAAAACAAACATTCGGAATTTTGAAGTCTATATTATCAGTTTGTTCATTCATGGATTTTAGTGTTTAATATAAAAAATCCTTGCTTAATCCAGGCTCATGAAATGTTTTTGTGCATTTAGTTCTAGGTGTTTTAGTTTTAGGTTTTACATGCTTCATTTTGAGTTATTTTTGAGTTAGTTTTTTGTACATGGTATGAAGTTAGATCAAATTCACTTTTTTACGAATGAAAATCCAGCTCCTCCCATACAATTTATTGAAAAATCTGACTTTCTTCACTGAGTTGCCTTTACACCTTGCGTATACATGCTGTGTTCTCTGTTCTGTTACATAGATCTCTTTGTTTACCTTTATGCCAGTAGCATTACTTAAGTTTTGTATATTGACCTCATATCCTACCACTTAGCTAGAGTCAATTTTTAATTCTAGCAGCTTGTATTTTAAATCCCATTCACAGTTTTTACCCAGGTGTGGGCTCAGAACCTGGAAGTGAGTACCTCCTTAGATTGTGTTCCCTATATTCCTCTCTTTTCTCAACCCAGCCTTAGTATGACATTGACATTAGCATTTCTTACAAAGAAAGGGGTTTGTTTTTAAGGCGGTAGTACCAGGAAGCAAACTCAGGGCCTCAAGCTTGCCAGGAAGGTAGTGTGCTGCTGATCTATATCCCCAGCTCCCTAGAAATTTTTTTTTTTTCTTTTATACTTTGTGTACATTTTTTGGTAGTTGCAAGCAGAAGAGAAAATCTAATTCTTTTTACTTCATTTTGGTCAGAAATAGAATAATTCTGTTGCCTGTTATTTGCTTTTTAATTTGTATTGTGGTAGTGTTTGTTCATTTTAATGAAGATTCTAAAGTTCTTATAGCAAAGTCTGTCCTATTTGTCCAAAGAGTGTTGACAGTTCTTAATCTTTTCTGACTCATGTAATTCTTTGATGGATAATCTGATCAAAGTAATGAATCTCCTTTTCAGAAACATTTACACACAGACACACATTTCTGCCTGTAATTTCCGTAGAATCTCGGAAGGCTCATCATTGATTCAATGTTTTGATTCCATATTTTGAGATTTCTTCCTTTTAGGTCATGTTTAGAAAGGCCTGCCATTTCAAGATTATATAATTAAAGAAAACCTTCCCCCCCCCTCCTTCCTTCCTTCCTTCCTTCCTTCCTTTCTTCCTTCCTTCCTTCCTTCTTTTATTTTTTCCTCCCTGCATACTTCTTCCCTCTCTTCCTCTCTTCTTTTCACAATATCAAGGATTGCACTGAGCTACATCTCCAGCATTTTTTTTAAAAGACATAATCTTGCTAAGTGCTAATAGGAAAATGCATTTTAAGTTATTCTACTTTATTAGATGAGATATTGTAAAGCATTGTAGGATGGTAATTATATCATTGTAGAAATATGATAAATATATTTAAATTGGAAAATGTTGAAGTATAATTACATTATGCTATTTTATGTAAAATATATGTATGTATAAAGAGTAGAAGAGACAAGGAAATGTAACAGCAGTTTTAGGGAGATGGTTTTGTGAATAATTATTTTTAATGTTTTATCATTTCTCTTAATTCTGTTAGGCCTTGAATTTTTATTATGTTTTCTCTATACAGATATGTAAACCTAGACTCCTGTTTAAATCTGTATGACTAAAATATAATACTGCCTGACACGAAATTGTGAAATTATTATATTTCTTTCCTTTTGGTTTTATAGAAAAATAACAATTTCACATTTTGCCAGTCCTGTTGTCTTCTTCTAAACCAATATTTAAATTATACATTTTTCTGATCATTTGTTGAATGCTGCAGTTTCATGGCGTACTTATTTTATTATGCTTTTGCTATGATAATTTGAACCAATTTTGGATTTATTTTTTCAGTAGCCAAGCAGGAGGCTGAGATGTCCAGATGCTATAATGCAACATTGCCATCACCTGGAAGTCACCAGAGTCAAGACGCTCTACATTGCTATCCTCAACTGCCTCACCAAGGCTCTTTCCAGACTGGTGAATTTGTGCGCACTGAAAATGCTTCAACAAAGATGCAGATAGTGAAACAGAGACTTGAAACTGTCACAGTATGTTTAATTATTTCATGCAGTTGGCATTTTAAAATCATTTCTTTCATGTTTTACATGGCCATGCGAGTAAATTTTAATTTAATGAAGTAAGTTAATTTCTCAAAACTAGGTTTTCTTATACTTTCGTAGTTTCTTTCAGGTACTTGTTCTGCAATCATAAATTGCTGTAGGCAGACTAAATCTAGGATGATGTATCATGCTGTCCTGGTATGATATGTCTGTAAAGTACCAGAGAGGGCTCTGAGTCAGAAGACCACACCTAGGGCCTGATGCATAAGTATAATTCCATCTTCTAGGAAAGGAAGAAAAACTGGCCATCTCAGCCCTGCTGTGTAGCATTTGAGTGCAGGATGGTACTTTACAAGTTAAGGGTCATCCATAGGACCAATTTTGGAAGGACGGATGATATGCAAACAAGTAGTTTCTTCCCAGACGTTCAAAGTCCCGTAAAATCTTGCCTAAAACTTCACATTTCTTCGGTGGTCCTCACACTTCATTGTGCATCGGAATAGCCAGGCAGGCTTGTTGATGATGCTCAGGTTGCCAGGCTCCATCCCTAGGGTTTGTGGCTCAGTAGGCCTGGGTGACCCTGTGATTTTTTTGTTTCTGTCAAGTTGGTCAGAGGACCATATGTTGAGAACAACTAGTCTAGTGCCCAGTCCCTACATAGTGCCTAGAACTTAATAAATAGGTGTTTCAGGGCCTTATCTAAATTGCAAGCTCCTTGAAGGCAGTTCTGATATTCTTTGTGTCTGGTCTGCATAGCTGATTTTCATTAACTTAACAATTAGATGTATATAATGACTCAGGAAAAACTGAATTCCTAAACTTCCCTTCACACAGTGTTCCTTATTTTGGCCATTCATTTCTGGGTCTTCATTTCAGGGAGATAAGTCTGCCCTTCACTTTTCATTTCCCAAAGCCTTCCTGTTGTTCACATTTTCCTAACTCATAGTCTTCCTCCTCGATTTTTATTCTCTAATTTGCATTGTCTTACGTGCCACCATACAGCCATGTATCTGACTACCTACTTTCAACCTCTCCTTATGGCGAGGACCACCCTAGCTCCCTACACCTGTGCAGAACTTTTGTAGAATGTGCTGACCGAGGATAACTTGGCTTTGAAGGTTGGAATTTACCAGTTGGAATAAAGAAAACTTAGTTACCTCAAATATTTATTAATTACCTGCTACATTTAAGAAACTGCAGGGAACACTAAAATGTTAAACACTTGGCTTGAATTTGCATCGCCTTCTAGCTGGTAACAAATACTCAACTATGATTTAAGGCAGGATCTTCTTTTTTTGTTTGTTTGTTTTGTTTTGTTTTGTTTTTTTTGTTTTTCTCTGGTTCCGGGAACCGAACTCACGACCTTGCGCTTGCCAGGCAGGCGCTTTGCCACTGAGCTAAATCCCCAGCCCCAAAGGCAGGATCTTCTAATAATCCACTTATATAATGCTCACATGGCCTTCTTTAATGTAGCAGCCTTATAAGATAGCCATGACTGATTATTACTCTTGTGTTGTAGACAAAGAAACTATCTCTGTTCAAAAAACAGATGAAAGTTTTGTGGGTTTTATAATGAAATACTATGTGTATAATCTCCCATGTTGTTTTTGAAACATTTATAAGTTTATGAAAAAGCAGGAACTAATTTTTTCATTGTGTAATTGTTGAGCCTTTACCATTGCTAAATGTGTGAAACTTAATATATAAGCTAGTGAAAGAGACCAAGAAATCAGTAGCATAAAAACAAGATAAAGTATTACCCAAATTAACATCATTTAATGAAAAAGAATAGTCAGCAATGCTGAGTGTCTCTGGAGTAAATTACATTGACAACCCAAAAATGTAAACATACAAGACTCTGCTTCAGTTGAGTAGACTACATAACAGGAATGCCTGAGTCTACCAGAAATAAGCTTAAGCACTGCACATAAACCACTGGACAGTTAAAGGTTGAAAAAATAAACCACACTTAAGTAAGAATGCCATTAAAAAGATTTGCATTAAAAAGCATATTTTAAATGATTTATGGTAGGGAACAATATTTTAGATTTTGTCCTCAAAAAAATATTTATTTCCAGGGCAGCTACATTGTATATATGTTTTGCAAGCATTTGGGTTGACAGGATTCCCACATTTTGTCACAATAACTTATCTCTTGTTTCTTATATTTCAGTAGTTTCTAAATTGCTTTTTTTTAATCTAGATTATGCCTCACTTTATTGAATAATGTATTGCTAAAGGTAATTATTTCTTATGAACAGGAATGTTTTCTAATGAGTTATAGTTCAGTTTTAGGATGTGATTATGTTTGTGTGTGTGAGTTGCAGAATAAACTCATTTCTGCAAATACTTTTTTTTTTGTCATTTTTGAGATAGGGTCTTATATGCAGTTCAGACTAGCCTTGAGCTCACTTTGTAGCCCAGGATGGTCTCAAACTCGCAGTGATCCTCCCGCCTCAGCCTCCCCCATGTGGTGGAATTACAGGCATGCATCACCACACCTGGCTTCTGCAGATATTCAATAGATGTTTACTCATAAGTAAGTAAATGATATAAAAATAGACAAATCTCTGTTTTAGGAAGAATTACCGTTTAGTTACTATATAAATCATGTAAAGCTTTCATAGTTAGCAGATTTAACTGTATGCTGCTGCCATAACAATATTTGAAAATATTCTGCAACCTAAGTAATGTCCAGGTCCAGAAATTTGCTCTTATTAGTGCATCCATAATTGCTCTTAATCTATCCAGATTGCTTAGAATACTCTGTAAAGAGTAATCATTTCTACAAAAAGCTGATTTATATAAACTAGGTATTTTAGGTTTGTTTTTTTGTTTTTGTTTTTTTAGTACCAGGAATCGAACTCAGGGCCTCGTGCTCGCCAGGCAGGCAGTATGCTGCTGAGCTATCTTCTTGGCATATATATAAACTAGGATCCTTGAAAAAATCTTACAAAAACTTCTTTTGTGTGTGTGTTTAATTTTTTTATTTTATTTATTAGTACAGTTTAGATATACATAATGATCACATTCATTATACAGAATTTATTTGTACATATGTCTTGATTCCTCTTCTTTTTCCCATTCCAGTCCTGTCCTTTCAAACCTCCTTTCCCTCCATGTTCACAAAGCTGTTTTTATTTTATTCTTCTTCTCTCATTTTTTCTTTCCTTTCTTTCCTTTGCCTCTCCCCTCTTCTTAGTTCCCTCTTTTTTTTGTACAGTTTCTTCCTATTTTATAATATCTATTGTGCATTTTGGTTTATTTCTAATTTCAGTTTCTCATACCAGAGAGATAATGTGATTTTTACATATATGTATCTTATTTCTCTTATGATTGTTGTCTCAAGGTCCATCCATTTATTTACAAATGTCACAATTTTGTTCTTTATGGCTGAGTAATACTCCAGTGTGTATGTGTGTGTGTGTGTGTGTGTCCTTTTTTTATCCATTCATCAGTTGATGGGTGTTTGGATTGCTTCCAAGACTTGGCTATCAGAAACTGCTGCTATAAATGTGGGTGCAAATATATCTCTGTGATGTGATGCTTTTAATTCTTCTGGGATATCCAGAAGGAGACTAGCTGGGTCAAATGGGATCTCTAGTCCTGGTCTTTTGAGCAATCTCCAAACTGATTTCCACAGTGGTTGTACCAACCTACCCTCCCACCAACAGTGGAGAAGTGTTCGTTTTTGTCACGGCCCCACCAGCATCTATTATTAGCTGCTTTCTTGATAAATAGGTATTCTCTGTGGTGTGAGATGGAATCTCAGTGTGGTTTGAATTTGCATTTCTCGAATGACTAATAATGTTGAGCATTTTATCATATACTTAGTTGCTGTTTGTACTTCTTCTGAGAAGTGTTTATTTATCTCATATGCCCATTTTTTAGTTGGGTCTTTGAGTTTAGAGGGTCTTGTTTTTTTTCAGTTCTTTATATGTTCTAGATACTAATCCTTCATCTGAAGAACAGTTGACAGAAACTTTTTCCTTGTCTTTTCACTTTGTTGATGATTCCTTTTGCTGTGCAAAAGCTTTTTAATAAGATAGAATCTCAGGCCAGGGATGTAGCTTAGCAGCACAGCACCTACCTGGCAAGTGCGAGGCCCTGAGTTCAATTTACTGTACCAAAAAAAAGAAAAAAAAAAAAACGAAATCCCAATTTTGATACTGTGCAATGGAGGTTTTGTTCATAAAGTGTTTGCCTCCTCCTGTGTCATTCAGAGTCCTATCTGTTCTATCTTCCAGCAGATTTAGTGTTTCTGTTTTAATATTATACCTCACTTGAAATTATACTACAGAGCTAGTATGATAAAAACAGCATGGTACTGGCAAAAAAAAACCAAAACAAAACAAAACAGACCTGAGGATCAGTGAAACAGGTTAGAAGATACAGAAACAACTCCAAACACACTCAGCTGCCTGATTTTTGACAGGGGCCAAACAAGTTCACTGTAAGAAAGATAGCCTCTTTAATAATGGTTCTGGAAAAATTGGCTTGCCACACGCCAAAGGCTAAAACTAGACCCATGTCTGTCACCATGCACTAAACTAAAATCAAAGTGGATAAAAGATCTAAATATTAAAATAAAAAGGCTTCTTGAGTGTTTCCAGCTGCTGAGATACTCGACTGCTTTTCTATTCTAAAATTAACTTGAACCCAGGTTTGTGATCACTGAGGTGCTCGTTAAGTAGTCATAGTTATGGGGATTGGATGAGTTTTGAAAATGTTTTATGCCAATTTTGAGGAAGATTGAATCTTCTCCGCTACATAGGAGATTTCACCTTATACTAATTAAAGGTAACATCTGTTTCATTATTAGCAATAACTGACATGTATTTCAGGCACTGTTCTGGGTGCTTTACATTTTTATTATATCTGCAGAACAGTAGAGGGACTAGTGTTGTCCCTACTTGCCAGAAGAACAACTCGTGGGCTGCAGAGATCAAGCAGCATTACCAAGGTCGCTCAGGTAGTAAGCTTTGATG